CATTTTGTTGTTACTGGTATAATATCTACCACCGAACCCTACACAGCAAAAAATAAATATGACTATTACATCCAAAATGATGCACTCCAATCATGTCGTAAATATCATGTAATTTTTATGGCCACACAAATAAACAAATGCAGCAAAAGCAGCGTAATGTCTGTTCATGCACTGTATTAATGATAAATGTGTCTTTTTTGGCAAGTAATATTACACCATATTTTCGACACGATTGAAGTGCATCCACTTTGATGTGATATTAAAATTAATTTTTTGCTGTATTGTCGAGACAACTTCTAACTGGAGAATCAGGATTTTCCAGTAATCAAAGGATCAAATTTTAGTTCTTGTTACTTTTTATGACTTGATAATAGTGACAAGACTCGGGTAGTGACCACCGCCGTTATGCATTTCTATATTGTATATTTCAAATCAAAAATATTGTTTATGTTCATAGAGTTTATATAATCCTTTTCCCTTTGTTCTTCTCCTTTTCCTTTCGCTCTTCTCTTTTCAGAAAGCGAGTAATGGCGCTATAGCCATAAGCCATAAAAGACTAGGACAAGAGTTAGTGCTCATGTCCCAACCGTCAGAAGAAAATGGAGCATCACTTAACATTTCTAGCTTTGATGCTTCCTACGACCAACCAATCATATAATTACCAAAATCGGAACGTACGGTACGAGATGTCCACGTTTCTTCCATTTATTGGATTCTGAAGCATCGTGTTTAAATCTTCGATATGAACAGGCCCGATGTTTTCTGAATCATCTTTCCCCTTAAATGCCGTTTTGATATGTGTGGTGCATCTTCGATGTGAAACATATATCAAATAGACAAGAAAAGAAACCTTCACGAGATTAATTTCTAACCACAGTGAATTCAAGAGCACAAACTTTGTTCAAAAATTTAGCTGAGATACAATTAATTAAAAACCTTCCGACGACCACATGGCAGAATCAGTGAATGCGGTGAGAAATCTGTATACTTTGTATGCAAATCTATAATAGAATCTTACATTTCCCGGTCGGGTGTAATAATTTGATTAAATCAATTTGATTATTTTTATAACGTTCAAGAGTTACGAGTCATTTTGAAAAACTGCATTCAGTTTCATTATCTCAAGAACATGAGAGAGGGCGATAAGAGAGGAACTGGGAGTCATCAAACCTGTACCTGCAAATTCAACCAGTTCACAAGATTTTGGCACGATGTCCTTTTGAATTGCTAACCTTGCGGATGTGCAGAAAACAGGTAGTTGTTCAATTTCACATTCCACCCTAAAGCTGGGCTTAGACAGGGCAAGTCAATTGATCAAGTCAGTTGAATTCAACTGACTTGAACGCGAGTTGAACGTGTAAACCATGCCATTCAACTGACTTGATCAACTCACTTGAATTGAAAAAAATTGAACCAGGCTCAACTTTTCAAGCCAATTGAATTCAACTGAGTTGATCATTTGACTTGCCTAGTCTAAACCCAGCTTTAGAGCAACATCCTCGATCCAGTTTTTCTGATAGAATCGGAATTATGCGTCGATGAATATTATGTCCTGAACCACCAACCGTTGCAGCCTACCAAGCTATCAAGTTCACGGAGTGGTACCTTACGCAATATAACACCAATGTAAATCAATGGCCAATGTCTCACCTATGGAAATCACCAAATATCCCCCAGTCCAGATCTGAAATACTTCGGAAATGGGACAGTCACCTTCAACGGAAGTGCTTCATCCAGTGCATATAGGACTGCATAAAATTCGAGAAGTTTCCACCCAGGTCACACACACGCAGGCAAAAGAACGTAAGAATTCCATAAGAAACACTTATGAATTTTAGCCATAAGAAATGAGTGTGTATTTCATTGATTTGCCTATGAAAGATAATGTTGACAAAAAATAATAAATCGGAGCAGACTGGAACCGGAAATGGACGTTGAGGTTAGGGGGCCCGTGGGTTGATCACTCGTCTTTGAACACGTGGGAAAATGAAATGGTTAAAGGCGTATACGAGCTACCTCATGTTACCCGAACATCATTCATAAGTCACGCTTATGAAATTCATATATGTTGTTCATAAGTCGAGCCTTATGCAATTCTTAGGTCTATTTGCATCAGTGTAGTAGTTGATAAACTTGCTCCGTCGGTAAACCTTTGGTTGCTTTATATGGTAAAAGGAGAGATAAGCGAAGATCATGCAATCAACGCTTTGACTAGTGTCGAAGACAACATATCAAGAAGACTGGCAACTTTGCCTGAATCGAAGCGACAGGTACAGTAGCGCTGTGCTCGAGCGAAGGTGGAAGCAACGTATAGAAAAATGAGCAAATACACAAACCTTTCTTCTGAGGATGGAACCTTTGCTATCCAATTCGTTTGTAGCATTTACCTTTGAGCGGCAGATGACACGATTTCGCTATAGTCGCTATATTCATAGTCTGGCGGATAGAATCTCGGGAACCAATTGAGCTGTCAAATAGCGGAACCAATCGAGCAAATCACGACCAACAACAGGAAAGAACACATCAGCTATTGCGAACAAAATTTCGGAAACCGTTTTCTCGTGACTCAAGGCTCGTCTACACAAACTAACACCATCTTTAATTTAATTTACCTTCGTTAAGCGAGGAAACAATAATCAAGTTTTGTTTATAAAAGTTGATAGTACCTTTTCAATTGTTGGTGTTCAATATATTGAATTGATTCCCCTTTTTGATAGATCGACATTCTATCCGCCAGACTATGAATATAGCGACTCGCCTGTCTCATACCGGTTGTATGAGAAAATGGAAGAGTTGCCAGTCTTGATATGTTGTCTTCGCTAGTGTGTTAGTTGTCACGAAAATTTCGCTTTCAAGCCCACAGGTGCAAATTTGGAACTTTGACAACTTTTTCTGCTTAAACCTAGGCTTAAACTTATCTTGAACCTTTCCTTTTTCGGTAGCCGTGTAAACTTTTGACCTGGGAGCAGCTTGAAATCCACCTTGACATATATTTCATCGCGCATTATAATGCAATCAAATTTCTGACACAATCAATATGCTCCTTCTTCTTTTTCATTCCTTTATTTAACGTCGGTCTCTGTTCCGCAGTGCCAATCACCGACGGACATCGATTGCCATCCATTGACGGCAATCGAACGTGCAGGAAGGCAGCTTCCACACCTGCGTAGGATATCGCACCCATTCAACACACATTGGTCGGGACCAAAGGCTTTACTTCCCTTCCGAAGGGAGGGAAAAAATGCGCCAATTTGTGAGCGGTGTTGAGAAGATGTAAACAAAGGCAAGAAAATTATTATTTTTCAAGCAAAATAACTTAAAACATTAAAGTAATCGAATCCGCACCACTCCGATTAGAACCAAATAAAAATGAGCGGAAAATTGGATGAAAGTGAACATTAACGCAATCAAAACGTGAGCATTGGTGCATGTGATTAAATTAATTTTATATTTTTTTATGTTAAAATATTTTTTTTTCTATTTTTCTCGCATAGCGTAGGGTAGAGAACTACTTCGGCCTAATCGCCCATTTTGGGTCTATTGAGCAGAAAACTTCAAATAAATCCATGATTTCAAAGTTAACAAGTTTATTGTGCGTTTGGTACGATACTTTAGTTAATAAGCTACGGAACGAAGTCAATTAGAACGCGTGATATGAAGGTTTGCACCCATTATTCCCAAAAAACAAAAGAAGCGCTCCGACCGAATCATGTTTTATCTTCATCCGATAGGCCGAAGTAAATTCATTGGCGTTTCAATGCGTTAGGCCGAGTTTTGCGTCAAGAAGCAGTGTTAGACTTTTGACAATATCTCAACGATTGGTTTCTCTTTATCAAATCTTACGGTACATACGGAAAGCTAAATAAATTTGGAAGCCATCAGTAATAATAACATTCCGTTTGGTGCTAAACTGAGCTAGATTAAGAAAGACTAGTGCGGATTGTGCTTAATAGGTCGGAAATGGGGTAGTTAATCCTATAAGTTACTTTAACGAATGATGAAAACACATAAAACAAATGCAATGTTGGGCTTTTCCTGCGAATTTTTTAACTTTAACATTGCTTTAAAAGAGCGGAAATTAGTGCATTGATGGTAATAAAATAGATCAAATTACTGGTCGCAGTGGTTAAATGTCCCGAACAGAGGAAAAAAAAAACAGTGTTACTTTCAATGCTGTTTGGACAACTGTGTAGCAAGTGGAGAAAGATCAAACGCAAATTGAGGGTGGGATACCGAATGCCACAGACCAGGCTGAACGGTGGGCGGGTGTGGTAGCGAGGTTGGCCTATAACTGAGGTGTCTTACTGACTCACATATACATCAGTCCGTCCGTCAGTCGTTATCGACAGTGTTGTATGAAGGCTTGAATATGCTTCAGAGCCGGGCATGTGGAAGCACGCGGCGTGCGGGCCAAGCTGTTGATAGAGCTCTGTGTTATGAATAACGAAGAGATTTTCGCTTTTCTTTACGTACGAATGCGGTATCGATCCGGGAGAGTGAAGAAACACGACATAGACATTTGGCGATTTTCTGTTTCTTCGATGTAACACCATGCGCCACCACCGCAACGCGCGCTGCAACATTGATAAGGCAGCACAAATGCCTCGAATGCATAATATGTGCGTAGGAAAGGTATGGGAGCAATTTTCACTTCCCAGGTGAAATCGTTCGAATGGTTGCAGTCAGCCGGCTGAGGGGGTGCTTGGAATAGTTTGAACCTTTGTTTGAGTGATATATGTATAATAGGAAGTCGGTGGGTTAAGGAAAAGCACAGAAACTTGGAAAATGTACCAGACAAGGCACTACTTACCGAGTTCATTCCAGACATTGTATAGTGCATAATCCATTGGTTGAGCTCCGGCGGAATGATCCAACGGTTGATTGTGCATACATCATTCTCAGTGAATGTTTGTTTGCACTCACCTATTCGGTTGTAAAGTAGTATTTCTGATGTAGTCATCTAATCGAAAACGTACTAAGCCACTTCGATAGCAAATACATTTATTTGATATAATCAAACCAGCTATAAAAAAAGTGAACCTATTTGCGTCAGTAGGACATGATCCGGTTTGAAATCTAACATTAAATATGTAACGCTTTAAACTACATTGTGATGCCCGTCGGATTGTAAATTATTGCCTCGTTATGTTGTAGCACACCGTTTCCCTTATGGTAAGGTTGCCTAAAATCGTTCGATTTCGTTGAGATTCTGGTACTTTTTCAACCGATGCAGGTTGTCCCACCAGAGCTTCAAACGGTGGGTCAAGATCAGCTGGAACCATGGGGTCAGCGGAGCGTCCAAGCCGGAAATATGCGTATCCAGTTGGTCCCGACGGATGTAACGAATTTCGCTGACTTCACTCTCGTTCGGCTTCAGATCCACGTCCTTCTGAAGGAACAGAATGTAGTCAATCTCGTGCTCACCCCACACGCCATCGCCATTGTCGGCGTAGTGGATCCGCGTTAGGTAATGGAAGTTTTCCGGGCGGACCTAAGAGAATATAAAAGCAATTACATTAAATTACAATATTAGGACATTTGTGTAAGTAAGGTTGTTTCGAATCATATCGCGATAAAAAATGTTTTTTTTCTCCGAATAATGAAATCATTAGATGTTTTGTTGTACTTGTATGCAGGGTAATTTCCAGTCATCTTGCATAAATTAATATTATAGAATCATAAGATGTTGTAATGTTATTGTGTATTTGCAAGCTACAATAAGAGGTTGTGTGTACAATCCGTCACAATCAGTGATTTGCTGATCGCTGTTCGCGAAGAATGAAGACTGGGTGATAGAAAATGATGAAATCGCTTATTGCGACTCTCATAAACCGAAATTGGCAGGTATTATGTATCGAACACGAACTTCTAGATAGAGCTGGAATTAGGGCGTAACAGCTTTTGTAAACAATGACTTCTATCGATGATTTCTAGGAATTCAAGGCACGTCCACGCAGACCAACCTAACCATCGGATAGGGGAAGTCTTTCCCTACCCTTTACAACCTCTTCTTGTTCCAGGGTTGGTGCTCTTCACTTGCTTAAAAAATACTATTAGGAATTTTGAAACCACTAGATGGTATAATCACAGACAAACAGACATAACACATTGACAATCTTTCACTGTAAAACATCGTCACTAAAACACTACCGCCATCTGTTGCGCAAAATGTCATGGGCAGTACGCTGAAAAGATGGTGGTAGTGTGTAAACGTCAAACGCAAGGGAATTGACTATGCGTGCCACAGACGGCGATACTACCAACTACGAACAATTTAAATTGACCGTTAAATGCATGTTCGATGAAAAACATCCAAGAGTTATGTCTGTTTGTCTGTAGTATAATGGTGTATTGAGCTTATAAGATACAAGTAGAGGTGGTAAAGCATGTTTTTTCGCCCCGTAACGTGGGTAGATCACCTTTTCGTGGTACGTTACGAGATGTACGATCTACCACCGATTCCTAGTCCTGACTACTTCAAACTAGGGGAACATGATTGTTCAGTAATCCAAGGAACACATGTTAGTCCTTGTTACTTTTTATGCCTTGCTGATAGTGACAAGACTCGACTTTGTCCACCGAGGATGATCTTGAAACAAGGAAAAAATGAGTTAGTTAGTCTTCATCTATGTGATTCCTTATCTTCTATTCATTGTTCCCTAGTTTGAAGTGGCAACTGTAAAAAATCGAATACTTCATCATTTCTCAATAGTGATGGAGTAATATGACATGCACTAAACTAAGGGCACGGGATATACTACAATAGATCACTTACTGGTCGCAGTGGTGTTAGATCCCGAACAGAGGAAAAAAAAGCATGTTTTTGACATATAAAACTTGTCAATTTTACATTCAGAGCTCTCTGAATAACATTTGTTTATAGTAGATGAGTGGCAATTACCTTGCTTGTTACTTATAAATACAAAATATCATCAGAATATATTATGATTCCATAATCCCATATAACAATGTATTGGGCAAAATTAATGTAAGTAACCATCTTGGATCTAAAAAGAATAGAATCAGCAATCGCCGATTTCAACGAAAAGTGAAATTTACAGGTTTCATTCATTAAATCCTCTTCTTATAGCGTCTTCTTTGTGTTCAAGGCTTTCTTCGTCTTCTTTTGTGAGCATTTTACCGGCTCTCAATTTAGTGTTCTCAATGCCCGCAGTTAGTAATTGAGAGCTTTCTATTCTATGCCAACCATCAATAAAGCATGTCCCACTTAGTAATGCAACAACATGATTTAGGTTTATTTTAGAATTGAATTAACGGATTTGAAAATGGTTTTCACTCAAGTGCATACTAAATATTTCTTATATTTTAAGAAAAAAAATATCAAACGAATTATTCGTCGTGGTTTCGAAGGAATTCTTTTTCCTTAATACGACCCATCAAGCGGCGCACAACGGTCTCGTCCACTGTTTTGGCGACTTTATCCTAACAATTTTTCATCTGAGCTGTACATTGTACCTTCAGTTTCCTCTTTATAATTGCCCGGTGGTTTTAAAATTTCAATGGACCTGAACTGGGGACAATTGGGCGGATTAAGGGTTTTCGGAACAAACTGGACTCCATTGTCATTGTACCATTGTTGTAGTTCCCGGCTGTAGTGACAACTCGCAAGATCCGGTCAAAATGTTACCGGATCATCATGTGACTCGATCAAGGACAGAATTCGCTTCTGGAGACTATCGGTTTTGTAAACCTCCGAGTTCATCATTTTCTCAGTGACGGAAACCTGCGCCTTCTGGCCGCAGCTGAAAATTCCCTTCCAGATCATATATTTTCTAGCGAATTTATCTGCAAAAACAAATTTGAATCTGCCAGGGACACCTCCTCAAGCCTTCGCCTAGTAAAATGTTGGTCCTGGAAGCTGCCCGAAGTCGGTCTTTACATAGGTTTCATCATCCATAAGTATGCACCCACCGGACTTGGTCTGGTTGTCATACAGCTTTCGAGCACGGGTTCTAGCTACGATATTCTGCTTGAGTGATCGATTTGGTTGCTTACTGGCGCCTTATGCCTGTAAGCCTTCGCTACACTGTACTACGGGCGGCATAACTTTTTACTCAAATCGCGATCGGACATACCTGGGTTCCATGGAGATGACGGTGGGCAGATCCACTCCGGCGTTTACTTTGAGGCTTCCGATTCGTCGTCAAGGTTTCCCTATACGTTTTGAGCACGCGCCATACGGTGTATTTAGGAAAATTCAACACTTTAGCCAGCTTGGACGCGGACCACGATTGATTTTCCAGTTGACTGCGCAAGATTTTTTTTGCTACGCTCCTCTTGCATGGTAACTGTCCCCAAAACCAGAGCATTTTCTTCTGTCCTGTATTTAACGTCGGTCTCTGTTCCGCAATCTAGTGCCAATCACCGACGTACATCAATTGCCATCTATTGACGGCAATCGAATGTGCAGGAAGGCAGCTTCCACACCTGCGTAGGATATCGCACCCATTCAAACACACATGGGCCGGGACCAACGGCTTTACTTCCCTTCCGAAGGAAGACGTGACCAGAGATTTTTATGCCTCAGAAAAATCCCACCGACCTCGGCTGAGATTGAACCCAGACCCATTGGGGTGTTAGAAAGCAGTCACGCTTACCACAACACCACCGGCGCCGGCTACAAGAGCATTTTATGAACTGAAAAAATACACTGTTATTGTTTTTGTTGTTGTCAACAAAGAGATAACAAAAGCTCCCGAAAACGTCCACTAGGAGCGCTGTAATAAACAAAAGAGTTTATTTATTTATTCATTTATTACACCATCTTCGACTCAGTCGTGCAGACTGAATCTATATATATAAAAATGAATTTCTGTCTGTCTGTCTGTCTGTCTGACCCTTATAGACTCGGAAACTACTGAACCTATTGGCGTGAAAATTTGTATACAAGGGTTTTTGGGGCCGTGGAAGGTTCTTATGATGGTTCGAGACCCCTCCCCCTTCTGTAAGGGGGGGCTCCCATACAAATGAAACAGAAATTTCTGCATAACTCGAGAACTAATCAAGCAAATGGAACCAAATTAGGCATGTGGGAGCGAGTGTGGGGGTATAAGGAGATAATAATAGGGGGTAGCCCCTTAGATAATAGGGGGGGGGGCTACGTACAATATAGCATGCTTTTTTTTTAAATCGGCGCATAAACTCAAGCTAATATTGAATCCCGAGCAAGACCGGGCACACTCAGCTAGTAACTTATAATTAAACATAAAACTTATCTTTAATCCTATTACTAAACACATTTTTAGACAAATTCAAATCGAACTCATCGCTAACGTCATTGAATGCTCGAAGACACGAGTCGAATGGTTTATTATGGCCATAGTTTGTCCTAGTAATGGAACAAGTCAACATGCAACGCTTGTTTGTCTTTGACCTCATCCAAGGATCCATCGATTGTCCTGCACTTCTCGAACAGATTCCACTGAATGCTCCACCCAGACGCTTACGCCACTCGCCACTCCTAGCGGTTCCTTATCATACACAGCAAAAAATTAGGAATATTACATGACATGTAAACCAAAACCATTTTAAAATTACATCGCTTTAAACTATGTTTTAGTTTAATTTTACATTAAAAATCATGCACATAATAAAAGCATGATAAAACTCATAAAATTACACGTTAATTCGACTAATTTTTTCTTACAGTTTAATATCACCACGTGATGTAAAAACTTATCGAAGAACATCGGATTTTCAACGATGAAACCTATAAATTTACATGCTCGTGTAAATTTAAATCAACAAACATTGAGATAGCTAATATGGCGGACGGACCGATTATTCGATCAGTTTTTTCTCCACTCGGTTTGTTTTGTTTTGTGCGCTCAGTTTTGGTTATGTGGAACGATTTATCGTGCATACGCGCGTCCACAAATAGAAAATGGAGGACAGACAAAATATTGATTAAAGCGGTTTTATTTAGTTCGTGCAGAAAATCAAAAATTTGGATATAGAAATATAGAAAAACATTCAAATATGCTCTCGTGGTTCCTTTTTTTTCTCCTAACTGATACTTTTGATGCAGCGGTGGAAGTGTAGAGTATGTACAGGGTACGTGACGAATTTTTGCAGTAAATTTCAAATAGTAATTTCTCATGCTTGTGCATCATGATTTAGATATATTTGGCAGCACTGGATAGCTTATACTGTTAGGTGTAAGATTTAAACAAACAATGTTGAGTAAACGTAAAGATGTCGAAACAAGAGAGCAATCTGTCAGCCGTTGTCGCTTTGTTGCGCGCCGGAGTATGCCGAGGGGCACGCAATTGCCTTTTTGACTGCGTTGGATTTAAAGTACAAGGTGTTCAACTATGTAATTAAGTAATTAAAAATGAAAATTAAGTATTTCATGTAATTAAATTTAATTTCGCGTAATCAAAGCAGTGCCAGTGTAATTATTGCAATTAAAACACGTACTTCAATTTGATTACGTAATTAATGTAATTAAAAATTTATTTTCTGTAATTA